ACAATAATGTGTGTGTAAATAGTGAGTAATTGAACTGCAGTCAGAAGTATTGTTGACGTTGGTTGATATAGCGTTTGTTATAGAGCGACTGTTGAAAATAAGCGTATCGTAAAGTTGTATTCGGAAAGAATAAACCAGTTTTATTAAGTAAGGACTTGTGTCGCTAAAGTTTCGTCGGAATGAAGTTACGGAAAAATCAATTAACAAACGGAGACGTAACAGTATATTTTACTGTGATAAACTTCAATTGTCATACTGTATCTTGATAAACAATATCTATTGCTGTCTTGAGCTGTTGTAAAGTACATGGAAAAATTCGGATGGTGTAACAAATATTGGGAAGAAACAAAGTAATGCTCGTGGTTTAAAACGAGAGAGTCGATAACTAATATGTTTAATATATATATATAAACCAAAACTATGAATAATGTCATTCGCTTTGGTATTTGTTCACATAAATAGTGAACGCAATATATTTATATACAGGCAGTTTTTAAAGTAATTTGTTTGAGCAGCGGCACAGGTTTTTTTCTATTAAAACCTGCCACTCGGAGCGCTACAGTTAGTCTGATTATTATTTTCAGATTAGAGCGGTATAGTCTCATATGATATAGTGTGTTAATAGATGATTTATTAAGTGACTACATTGAATTTAGGTTTTCGTAAAGAAAGTAAGAGGATGGCTAGCTGGCTATGAAATTATGTCGGTGGATGATTATGTGATTACACAAGATGTTTGCTTCAATGAAATGGATCGAGGAATGTCTCTGTTAGTGTAATTGTAAAGAGACAGTAGATTGTGCAATAAAGATTTGAAATTGAAGGACAGACGTAATGGTAGCTTTGACTGAGAATTAGTGAGTCGCAAATTGTAAATTTAAGAATTGTGCGATGACAACATAACTTGTTAATTTTGAAGTAGGTTGCTCATTAAAATAAGGCCACCACATGTTACTTTTATTGGGCCTAATTGATTCTGCAAGATAGCTAAGATACCGATAAATAATGGGCTAATGGAGTACACGTTATATAGTTTACTAATATTAATATTATAGTATCACTAAGGGCTACAAAGAATACAAACGGTATCACTAAGGACAGTGAATTAAAGCTAAGAAACAGTTTGTAATTTAATCATTTATGTTAATATTCAAAACTTTATTGCCGCCTTATCTTTTTATACGAACAGCACTTGCATTACACTGTTCCAGATCACTTTACAAGTTACACTATATTTACAGCACACTACTAATGCTAGTACTACAAAGGACACAACGTTTTACATATAGACTTTTTCCTAACCACCATAAAATTAAATAAGTATTCTATACACATTATATAGAATTGTTTGTTTTTGTGCAAAGCTACACAAGCTATCTGCACTAGCCATCCCTAATTCAGCAGTGTAAGACTAAAGGGAAGGAAGCTAGTCATCACTACCCACCACCAACTCTTGGGCTACTCTTTTACCAACGAATAGTGTGATTGACTGTTACATTATAATGCCCCCATGACTGAAAAGGTGAGCATGTTTGGTGGGATGGGGATTCGAACCCGCAACTCTAAGATTGCGAGTCAAGCACCCTAACCACCTGGCAATGCTGGGCCAATTATATAGGGTTGGAAAAAACAATTTTTTTGGAAAGAGTTCCATATGGCACCCCCACCCAAAAATTGTAGAATTGCCTGGATAAAAAAGATTCTGAAAAGGGTTTATTTTAAGGGGCGTATTAGAAAAATTGGGGCATGGCTTTGACAAGCATTTGTGTGAATACATGTGATAAAAGTAGCCTTTTTGATGGCTTTATACAAGACATTTGTAAAGTTTATCCCCAAGAAGATTGTACATCTAATTAATGAAGTAAGTGGTATAATAATGTATTGAAATTAGCAGATCATACTATTAATATGATTTATTAATACATAAATATTACTTTGATGATTTTTTTTTAAATTGAGTGGGGGTGCCATATGGAACTCTTACCATTTTTTTTTTGAACACAAAAAAATAAATAAAATGGTATATAATTCTATTTTCTTATGAATGTATTTAATATAATAATCATTTCATAATCTTGAAAATATATTTTCATTTGGTTAATTCCTCTGAAAATGTTGCCTGTGTGTTTACGTTTCTTTGTAAGTCATTTAGTTTCTACTACTAGTCTTTATTCACAATCAGAATTGTTATTCTGTTCCTTCTTTGCATTTTAACAACTGAACTTGAAGATGCACTCATCTTCTAGTTAAGAGCTGATTTTTGTAGCTTAGTGGCAAGAGATTCCAACTTAGCATATTAGAAACTCTTACCATTAAGCTTCAAAAATCTGCTCTTAACCAGAAGACTAGTGCACTGCTACTACATTGTGAAAATGTAATAAAAAGAATAGAACATGAACTTCAATCATTAAGTTGGCATTACGGGCTCAAACAAAGTGTCATGTCTTAATTACTGTAAACACACTTATTTTATCTTATGACAAATTAATCAAAACAGTTTGGATTTTCTAGATAGATATAAAAATCATATAACACTTAGAGATCACCTATCAAAATCCTTTAAAAAATTGGAAATAGTAAATCAGAATATCATTCTGTTGGTTCATTAAAAAGTTAATGCCATTAAATAATAGGAGGTTTATGTGTATTCATATATTTACTGGCTATGTTAATTTTTAATAAGCTTAGCTGTCACTACTAGCACTTTAGGATTTTACACCAATGACATCCAACTATTTCAAATTGTGTATTTTTTTATTTCAAGTTATAAATTTGGAATGAGTTATTAGTATATTATTTACAAAAATTTTGAAAGTTAGGATAGATTTAATTAAGATATAAAATAATTCAAACTAGAAGTTTTTTGTTGAATATCTATTTCATTTTACACTTTTTTCCATTTGTATCATTTATAAGTAAGTTTACTAAATGCATTTATTGGATTTTTACCTAAGACAGAAATATGATTGCTCTTGATAAATCTTTTCATCTCTTTTAGAGCAATTTTCATGTTGATCTAGTATTCAAGTTTAGTTTGCTCTCAAGCCAATATTTTAAATAATGCTTCTCAAAATACTTTTCAAGGATTTCTTTGTTGTTTGGAAAATTAGTCTTATATTTTTTGTTTTATATTGATTTTACAGTATTAAAAACAGCCATTTTTTATGCTTCTAAAAAGAGCAAACTTTGATACATTTTAAATTAGTCATAAAGAAAATCCTAATTCCACATTGAATAAAAACAATACTTTGTTTTTTTTATCTGCTTGGACATTTATGAAACTTATACTTACAGTTGATGGAAATGTAACCATTGGCACATGACTTTACATCATGAAAGCTATAACCATTGGCATATGATCTATGTCATTGAAAATGTAAAACCATTAGCACATGATCTTGGTTCACAAAAAGTGCAATCATTAGCATATGACCTTGTGTCACTAAAACTGTAACCATTAGCATGTGACCTTGTGTCACTAAAACTGTAACCATTAGCATGTGACCTTGTGTCACTGAAATTGTAACCATTAGCATGTGACCTTGTGTCACTGAAACTGTAACCATTAGCATGTGACCTTGTGTCACTGAAACTGTAACCATTAGCATGTGACCTTGTATCACTGAAACTGTACCATTAGCATGTGACCTTGTGTCACTAAAACTGTACTGTTAGCATGTGACCTTGTGTCACTGAAACTGTAACCATTTTAATCATTATTGAAGCAATTGAGAATTTTGAGGAATTCGTGCAATTGCTTCATGGTAATTTCCAAGTTTAAGATATTTTTCTTGAGAGAGCAAAAACAAAACCTAAGGAAATAGAGTGTAATACATGTATATATATAATAAAATGGCGTAAGAAACGACCCTGTTGTTGAGAAACTAGGTCAATAAATAGAGGAAGTACAAGTAGCCTAAGATTGCTAGTTAAAGGATGAATAAAATATGTTAGGTCAAGAAAACTAGAGAGTAGTGGTATTGAGAATCATAAGTTACAAAACAAGTTATAAAAAATTAAGGTATTGCCTAGCAACGAAATAGATGCACTAGCACCAGTGATTGACAGTGATTAATTACTGACACCAACTCGTTAGTACTTAGAGGCTACGAAAAAGTTTATGTTAACATGCAAAAGTGGTACTTTGATGATATATTCATTACACGACGCTGGTTTACTAGCACAAGTAAGAAGGCAACCAGCTAACTCACCATAACAGTAACCAATCACTTGAGAGTTTTGGTTATAGTTTTGGCAGTCTAATGTATTATAAAAATTAACCAATAAGGTGTGAGAACTACTTTTGGTTAGTGCTGCATACTGTTTACGAATTCGTAGCAACATGAAGGAAAAATTTTTTAAAAACTCATGTTTGAGGCAGAAAATCAGTCTCCTCACGAGTTCTTACAAAGTTCTCATGAATTCCAGCAGATGCTCTAAGATGATGTTAAAAGTATCCAATCTGCAAAGGTACACCTCATATTGTTTACAAATTCGTAGCAACATGAAGGAAAGATTTTTTAAAAACTCATGTTTGAGGCAGAAAATCAGTCTCCTCACGAGTTCTTACAAAGTTCTCATGAATTCCAGCAGATGCTCTAAGATGATGTTAAAAGTATCCAATCTGCAAAGGTACACCTCGCTAACTGCGTTGCAAGTAAAAGTTTTCTGATTCTCAAGCTTCTATCAATATAATTATAGTAAGAAAGATATAAGAAAACTTATAATGTGGAACTGATTATTAGTAAAAGGCTTATACGAGATAAAAGTATTTTTGATAAATGAGAGAATTTATCTATTATTATTACATTTATTATTGTTGTTGATTATGTACTGGAAAATAAAGACAAGTAAAGACTATTATATTAATAACTGAAAGACTCAAACTCAGTTTCTTTATTTTACTGTAAATTACTTCGAGTTAGTGATGTATGAGCTCCACTCGCCACTGCAATCCTCAGCTAAATAAATTTGGTGTAATTGGCAGTATAATAGAAACTCCAACAATTAGCCCTAAGGGCACTGCCTGTTACATTATTTTTGGCCCCAAAAACTTCTACTGTAGTATTCTGTTTAGTTAAGTAAACTAGTTAAGTCTTAAGTATTTATTGATCCTATTTTTACTGGTTAGAAATTTACTTATGAAATATATAACTATTAATACATCACATTATCATTGGATGGGAAAGTGGAATAACTTTCACAGTATACGTGAACTCTGAATTACAGAGCTGTATTTTTTTCATAAAACATCTGATTTTGTCTTAACAGAAATGAATAAAAACCCTATAACCCGAATGCTTTCGAAAGGTGGACCTTTCTTCTTCAGTTTGCTACCGAAGAAGAAAGGTCCACCTTTCAAAAGTGCTCAGGTTATAGGGTTTTTATTCATTTCTAGCAAGAATTCTTGAACCTACATGTTTTCCTAATATCATGAATGATTTTATCTTAAAGTATGGAAGTCTGCTAAGAGCAGCTGATTGCTAATGCTTGCTTTTCCATTACACATACAGGATGTATGGTTCTTTTTTACTGAAATTTGAGTATTTAGGGCTGCATTATGTATATAATGAGTTATAAAATTATACAAAAATAAATATAAATTGCATATTTAATATAGAATATATTTAAAAAGTATTGGAAAATATTAGCTGTGCAAATATAATGCTTCTGTCTGTTGTTTCAACTGTATTTGTCTTAATAATATTGAAAAACAAAGGAAATTACAAACTTTGTTCTTTGGTAGGAGTTATTTTTTACTTTTCCAATGAAAATTCCAGGTTTTGAAAGGATAAAACTAAATTTACATTGATACTTAGAAGCTATGGTTTTTTATTGAATTTGATATGCTAGTTGATAGGTTACTTTACCTGTCTGTATGAATCCTCATTGAGGAAGAGAATTAATAATAAAGTTTACCTGTGTGTTCAGTATAATCTGACCAGTATTGGTATTTATTTAGAAGTAAATAGGAGAAGCAGTATAAGCAGGTTTGATGCTCTCATGAGTTTGTTTGTAGGGATTATTAATGCTGAGCATTATCATAATGTTTTACTATTTCTTTTTATAAATTATAATTTAGTTTGTTTTTACAGTATACAGTGTGTACTTTAAATTAAGCAGTATGTGTTTATCTCTACATGGTTTACACATATTCAGATGTATGATTCACTATGTATTTTGGAAGTACTGTGTAATAAAGGGACTTTGATAATTTTATCAAACTTTTTAAAAAAAATAGATGATCAAATAATGATAAAACATTTCCAAAAATGGGATTCTTTTAATAATATAACATTGACTGGTGAAGAAAAAGATACTGGACATGGTTGATTTACTGGAGAGACACAGTTGGTTTAGTGGAGGTAAAAGTTGGAAATTATTTACAATTTTGAAAATGACCATGTTTCATACCATTATGGAAACCCATCATTCTTCCCAATTATCATATGTGCACAAAGAATAAAAAAGGTAATTTCAGAGGAGGTTTGTCACTTTTCCCCCATTAATAAATTATAATAACTCAAAACAACTTTTACATTGTTTGTATTGCAAATTTAAACAATCTGCATAATGAGCACAGTACAATTTTTTGTTTTAATTTTTTCAGGAATTCTGAAATCAAGAAGAATAATAGAAAATCCTTGTTTTCAGTTTTCTCTTTCTTACTCCATTGGCTATTTGTAAACACAATTATTTTTCCTGTTTGTAAATGAAGTATAACTTAAATAGCAATGCACAAAGACCTATGAACTATTATTTTAGAAATCTGTGTATTTACTAACAGGAACACTGTTTCCATTGTATGAATGTAAACCTACTAGAAACAGGTATGTTTTAAATATTTATATCTATCATCACATACATATATTTATTACAGTTATGTGTGGTGTACAACCAGTCAAAGATTTATTATGTTGACTGGTTAATAGTCTTTGAACCAAATAATAATAATAATATGTAGATTATTATAAACAAATGCTGCACTGAACAAAAGTGTTTTATTCTTTATGACACTGTGTATAATTTAATCATTTATTATTAGTAGTCTTTATTTTTTGTAAACTTTCTTTGCAAGGGATTGGATTAGGTATGTATGTATTCAAGATCAACTCTTTGCTTGCCTAGACTGTAATGAGCAGATCAATAGGAACTGTCTGGCTTGGTCAGACTGTAATGTACATGTGACGTGAGGAGAATTCACAACTGCTGCTATCGTATAAATCTGTACATCACACCAAAGTTTTAGAAGCTCAACATATATTTTCTGTTGCATGTTGAATAGTTAAAAATATGTTTTAAGAGACATAGTAAACTTGTTTTCCCTCCAAATAGCTCTGTATTCTTAGTGTTATTACACATGTATATGTCTTGTCTACATTTACTTAGCTGCTTTTGGATAAGTCTAGCTCTTTTAGTTATGTATGTACTGTTAATTGTGTAACATGAGTATTTGGAATGAATGGTGGATGTTTGAAATGTAGCATGCGACAGTTTAAAAAAAAGGCAAATTATAGAAACTAGAAAAACTACCAAATGGTTCAAGCTTTTGTATGCACAAGGTTTTAGTTTAACATTTCAGATGTGCAGTTTTACTGTTATGCTGAATTTGATTAAGAATTTACTTCTTTTTTTGTTATTAGCATGAGGTTGTACTTATACATTTGATTAAATTTATAGTTTATACATATAATTACAACTTTGTACTTAAACAGTAATCCTATAATTAACAGGCATTGCTGAAGTTGAATAAACTTGTTAAATAATTTTGAATATGGTGAAATCTGTTCTACAATTTCATTGAATTTAAAGAGTGAATTTAAATATAATTATTGAAAATCCCTTAAATCTTGTTATTCATCAGAGATAAATAAAATAATACCCTGATAAATTTTTCTCCTCAGCATAACCTACAAATAATCATTATATAGACATGATAATTTGTTTGGTCTGTGTCCTTCAAACGTATTTGGTAGGACATTAATAATAATATAAAAGAACTATCTGCTTTTGCTTGTTAGGAGGAGTTTAATGACTTAGTTAAAGCTTTACAAAATCCTTATAGTATTCAATTCCAAGTTATATTTTCCCGACTGTAAATGTATTTGCAAAGAAAGTACAATGAAACAATTTTCCATAGTGGTACACTGTATGTTGCAAAAATTTTTCAAAGGGATTCATGATCACCACTGGATACTGTGCCAGGAGAAAGTTTGGGATCAAGAGAGTGGATACAAAGGGCAAGAACTCTTACTAATAGAAGACCAGTATTCTGGACTCTTTATATCACACAAAAATACCAGCTTTGTATGAAAACAAAGCCAACATGGGATGGGCTCATCACATCTCATGTTCAACTGTTAGATACCTCAAGCAGATGGAGAATGAAATGAGTATTTGTGCTATTCCATACGAAGACATGTATACAAATCACATCACTGGTTGCAGTATCTATGGATTTCTGTGTGATTTGACTGTCAAAATGTGCAATGGGAAACTGTCATCCCCGTAAAGTAAATGGACTATGAAACTGAAATAGGGAGGAGTGTGTACATGTACTCTAGATATGACAGCCTAACAATGGAAACTATGTTGCATGGCTATTGTCATGATGCATGGAGATCAGACAAAGCATGACTGGACATAGCAACATGATGTACTCAATCCTCTGTATACTTAAGCATTTAATTTCCTTTCTCAACTTTAACATATGTGTATATATATAATGCTGTGAAAGAGTTCTATATGTGGGATTTATTTCTAATCCACAACATTAAATCAAAGGCGTAGTAAATGTCATCTTGTGCATGTGTCTCCAACAAATTGTTTTGTGTGTGTTAAATAATTTAGAAATTTGTTTGTCATTTGTCATGGACCTTTTGATTCAAACTTTTCAAATTTCTTAACAAATAGCAGCAAGTACAATGGAGTTACTTGGTGATATTGATATAACTTTATATTTAATTAAGAGTAAAGTTCAAATAAAACATGTTTTATTATGATTTTTTACTTTGATTAGTTAAGTCTAGAAGTATGGTTGTGGTATCTAGAAAGCTACTTTGTATTACCTGAACCGATCCTTGTTGCTGTTTTATGAAACATGTTACTTTTGTGGGACTAAAAAGACATGATACTGACAGCACATTGAAATCCTGTTCACCTTAAAGTGCACCAGCGAAATATCTTGCAGAAACTGTATTGAGATGGAATTAGTGATTCTAATTTCAAGGACACCGACTTTGAAGACAAAGTGCTATCTTTTGCACTTAAATAGATGGTCAGTAACTGCTGGTAAACTCTATGTATTTCTTTTGAAAATGTCAAGTTAATAAAATTTTATGGTCATTATTGGCTATGAATAGTTTTGAATGATGTCTTATAGCTAGAATGGTAAGCAAAAGAAAATTGTGGTTTTTATCTTATAAGTAATAGTTGCTTCTAATTGAAACTAAACTAATCCTATAGATAAGAACTAGAAACTTATAAATTAATGAAATAATTCTATTTATCAAACTTACTAGAAATACATAATTTCATAAGACAGTATACAAGCTTAAATCTGATATGATAATGCACGGCTGAATTATTTGGGTGGGTATCATTATTGTTAATGATATTGTTACGTCTCCGTTTGTTAATTAACTTCCGTAACTTTGTTCCGACGAAACTTAAGCGACACAAGTCCTTCTTAATAAAACTGATTTATTCTCTCCGAATATAACTTTACCGATACACTCAACTTCA